CTATTGTTTAAATCCAACGGTGAAAATTGTCCTCGAATCTCGCCAGGTAATTTTAATGAGGAAACCAGACAGGAAGTGAGAAATGTTAACATATCGCAGTCGCAAAGAAAAATTCAACTTGACGTAACATGCATGTGACGACGTTAGAAGAGGCTTTGATATTGACTTTGATATTGATTTTATGTCAAGCGTTGACAAAGACTACGGGAGCTGTCTCTTATACACATCTAGATGTGTATCAATTTTATATATTGTATACAGTATATTTTTGTTGTTTAAATTGTACACTTTGAAAATCAGTGCAATAGTACTGAAAGTGCCTATAGTATAAAGAAAGATTAAATAAATAAACATAAAAAAAGAGACTATTGTTAACACAATAAATATAATTCATTCATAAAAAACACAATAAAATCTGATCACGATGTAGTATATAATATATGTAAATACTGTGTAAACAATAGCCTCTAGTTGTGAACAGTTTTAAATGTAAAACCAATGCATAATATTAAGTCAAGGACATTAATATCATTATTACTGATGATTTGTTTTGCTAAACAATTTTTTAAATATAAATCTGGCACCTGAAATCTTCCAAAAACCAAAAGGTGCACTGATTAATCTCAGAGAAGATAGTATAATACATACTGCAAGTATAGAAATGCACGCCATCATGTTGGGATTCAATATTTTGACATTATGTCATCATCAGGAATGTAATCGTTCAGCAATGTAATTTTGCCTTTTGCACAGTGATAATGTTCATAACGTGACATTGAAATTGTTAAAGCATGAATTTACCTTGACAATTACAAGTTGAAAACTGTTGTCTTCCTTCTTCGCAGGAGTAACAATAGGCATTCATTATTACGTACAGGAGCAGTACAATAAGAGAAAGAAGATTCCAACTACACAGTGTCATTCTGCATAGCATCTGTCAAAAAACACAAGAAAGACAGACTCTTACTTTTCCTGAATACTACAAGTCTTTTTTAAAGACCAACCTTAATGGAGTGGAGTCCAATCCCAGGGTTATGGGTTAATTCCTCAGATGGTAGCACAATTTTTTCTCAGGACCATAAAAACTTCACTCCTAATATGGAGCTTTTTGATTTGCGACAACCTCGTTCTGTCTTTAAATCTTGAGGAATTGCCATATAGAAAACTGATTAGGTTTTGCTGTTTGACATATCATTGGCCTGTTGTGATTGTGCTAATTGGAATTGTCATACTTTGACATAAACGAGAGCATCAATGATGCAATAGCCCACTTGACAATAGCTAGCAATGTTTAAGTGCTGTCGGTGGGTGGAGGTTGTGTGGAGTGTTGTTATGTGTATTGAGCATAAACAAAAACATTTAAAGTTAGAGTTAGTTGTATGCATCATCATAGACCTTTTTTGTTATGTTCACTTAACAGTTAGGAAAGGTGTGATGTCGTGTACAGCGATATTAAAGGAAATATGGTTGTTGTAAGGTTTGTTGTGTATGTAACTTTTTGAAATATTTTGTGCTATAGTTATGAAGATATTTATGTAGAGGTTTATGATATAAGTAGACAGTTTGGTGAGTGAATGGAATTTGTTGCATAGAAGTATTTCATTGTGAAGAAATATATTTTTCCAAAGGCGAATTATAATTATGTATTTATCATTTGTCTTTCTTTGTTAGTTAAACATGCAGCTTTGTTTGAGAAAGGCTAAATATTGATGTATGTATATGTATATATATATATATATATATATATA